CCGACGGCGAGGAGGCCTGGGAGGAGGAAGAGGAGGTGGAGGAAGGCGCCGCCGAGGGCCTGCGGACCCGCTGCCTCTTCTGCGACAGGTGGGGCGGTGTGGGGAGCCCCGAGGGCTGCGGCCTGCTCCCGCTGTCCCCGCGCTCCCCCCGCCCGGCCGAGGGACAGCCTGAGGCGCTGTGGCAGCCGCGGGGCCCCTTGGCGAGGGGGGGCGGGTGCCCAAATTCAGAAACAGCGTGCAGCCACCTCAGAAATATCGGTAGTACGTGGTTTGTGACTGCGCTGTGTAGCTTGTTGGTCTTACATTCGGCCTTTCTAGAGCTAAAGGTATGTTAAATCCAAGCTAAGGGGAGGGAGTAATGTGGAAGGCGGTTAATTCTTCTCTCCTTGCCCAGAAGCAATGTGGAAGTTGCTCTCGTGAATTCTGTAATTTCTTCCCATCGTCAGTAAATAGATGAGTATTTTTGTTTTGAAGCAGCAGATCTAACTTGTCAACTTACCTCATATATATATGGTTCTTAGATTTTAGCTTTAATGCTGCCTTTTCTCCCAAGGGGGTTTTCGAGAGTTAATAGGGTTTGTGGTTTTGTCAAAACTTTAACGTTTATTATTTTGTTACAAAACGTTTTGCAAACAAGGTAAAAGCTTCTTTGTGAGGCATGCAATTAAGCAGTGTCTCTTCGTTGTTTCTCAAAGGCAAAAATGATGTGTTCTGAACACGTTGCCTAGCAGGTCAGAACGGATAAAACTGTTGTGAGTGTTACAACTTCTGAACATGCTAATACTGTATATTTAATAATTTGTTATTTACAGGTTGTTCAGTTCTGCTGAAGATGTGTTCTCCCACTGCAAAGCAGAGCATCAGTTTGATGTGTGTGATGTGATCAAGAAACACGGTAAGTTTTTTTCATGGCTTGTCATTTCCTTCTTATCAGCATCTCATTTAAAATTAATTGTGAAGATTAGCTTGTTTCTAATGGAGTTCCTGGTTGTAGCTGAAGATTCCAAGACTGAGCATGATAAATATTTGTAGAAGAACACTTATATTTCATTTTTATGCTGGCTGTTTTGTGTATGCTATATCTACTGGTAAAGCTTTTGACTAGTAGCAGAAGTAAGACTGATCTCTGCTGGCTTGTGCTGAGTCCCCACTGCCTACTTGATGGACCTGAGCCAGCCCACTTGATGCTGGAGTAAGAGCTATCGCCCTGATCAGTTGAGATCTCTTGCCCGACTAGTGAGTCACTGTTGTTGAGCTCAGGAGCTCAGCAGAGACCAAGGTGGATGTGTCTACCAAGAGGTCACGTAACTGGGCTGTACTGCTCGTGTCTCTGAAGTGGCTGTTTGCAGTCTTGACCTGTGTTTCCTCAGGTGAGCACAGGAGGATGTACCCTCTAGTGTCTGTTTCACTCTTTCTAAGTGAAGTTTGAGGTTGGCTTTCACTTGAAGCACTTGCTTGTTTAGGCCATAGTGGTGACTGAAGGAAGATAGAGGAGGATGTATGTGAAGAGAGGGGGGACTTTGAAAGATTTAGGTAAGTGCTCAACTTCTGAGCCTGACATATACATCTTGCCGCATACAGAGGAAAATTTGAAGGCAGAGAAGGAAAACGTATTTGAAGAAATGCTATTTTAAGAGCGTGCAGTAAAAAGGAGTAGGAGGTAAGATGATGGGAACTACATGAAGCATTAGAAATCTGCAGGTGAAGTAGTAAGATCTGATCTGGGTTTTGTCTAAAATCTAATGGAAAGTATTTTGAGTTTATGCAGTATCCTCGCTAGTCTTGAGAGCACATAATTACATTTAAACAGCTTATTTCTGAGTAAGTATTCTTGATAAATAGGATTAGTTTATAATTTGTTAAACAGAAATCTAAAAATAAGAATAAAGGAGCACAATAGCCTAAAATATCAGCGAGGCAGCCAGTAGGACATAAATGTGGCTGTTTTGATGCAGTTACCTGCCAAATGAATGAAATCCCTGCTCATAATCCGCATTTGCTTGTGTTCCATTCTTAATTTGTGGCAAACCCATTTGACCTGAGGGAGAGAATTTACTGGTTTAGTCCTAAAGAGAAGAAAAATGTAGATGGCAAAATGTAAGGTAGGAAGGCTATACTAGATAATGATACACATCCCAAGGGGAAGCTGGCCAACTGAACAAGTCATTAGTGTTTATATTCTTTTTTTTTTTTTTCCCTCCTCAGGACTTGATTTTTATGGATACATTAAACTGATAAACTTTGTTAGATTAAAGGTAGGTGTGCCACCTATTACTGTTGTAATTGATGTCTGGAGAATGGGAAATCAAGATACTGTGCTTTCTGTTTTCCCTTTTTTAATAACTGTATGAAATTTTACATTTCTAGAAATAAGAAGTCATGGGAATTAAAATAGCTGTTGATTGGTTTATTTAGATGTGAAATTGTTTTTAGTTTAAATATATTTAATTAATGTGAGTTTTGTTGTTTCCAGAAGAGGATGTTCAGACTTGCAAAAAGCCTCTGATGTGTAGTATCGTGTCTTGTTAATTCATCTCAGCCTTCGACTCTGCTGTCTCTCTCCAGTATTGGATTCACTTCTTGATAACTGAAGTTTCTCAGACCTTGCGTGCATCTTGGCATAAAAGAGTCTTTCCTGGGGATGTGAGCTGGCCAGACCTTTACTGCAGTGTTAGTAAGGACAACACCCTTAGGTTACAGAACCTAAAATTAATCTCTGCTAAAGTGATACCAGAATCAGGAAAGCTGATGAGAATCTACAGTTTTAAGTTGTTAGGCCTGGGTATCTTTTGTCTGTTCTGTGACTTGGAAGTATGTTCTGTTGTTAACTAAAAATTTAGGTTTAGAATTAATACTATCTTATGTAACTAAGCATTTTTTACTTAAGTCTTGAAACCTTAACTTCTCAAATAGTTATTTAAGGCATAACTAGCTATGCAGAAATGGAAAAGCTGATGTCCAGAATCTGACCTCTCCTTTCCTGACAAAGTATTAACTGGCTGGATGCAGACAGGAGAGATGATAGCATTGCTGATGTTTGTCCCTACAGCACCGTTAGTGTAAAAAACACTTGTTATGATTAGAATCTTGGCTTTATTAATCAGCCCCGTTGTAAGCTGTGGGTCTGACTAAACCAAACACTGAGTAGACTTGGTTCCTGGTAACAGTGTAATCCTACAAGTGTCCTTCAGTGTCTTATCAATCTGCTGTGCTTTACTGCTTGTGCTGGATGCCTTGATCATCCTGTAGCTTCCTGGGTTTGGGGACTAGCTCACAGGTGTAGTTTGATGCTATTCTCTGGTCACTGTGGTTGTGTCAGTTTGCTAAGGTGAGTACTACTTGTCAGAGCTGGAATGGAAGCCAGAAGTTCCTTTGTTTACTGTTCTCACTAGTAATGCTTTAAAGTAGTATCTTTCTCAGCCTTTGCTACAAAACTAAATACCCTATTTAATGGGTGGAAGAACATATCTTTCCCTTATTTTCTTGAATGAGATTGAAGGGCTGGTTTTCAAATAAACTTAGCTTACATGCTCTTCTTTCTAGAAACCAACAGCAGCATGCTTGAGTTCACTCAGCAGCCCACTGCCTTGGGAAGGAGAGGAATATTTGAAACCAGAGCTAGAAGATGATCTCCTCCTGCAGTTTGGTAAATAAATACGTTTCAGTATGACTTACTGTGTTGTGGGGTAAATGCGGTCTTGACAGAGTTCGTGTCATATGAAGTATCATCACTATTACTCAGTTGATTTACCTACATGAGATAGTCCACATACTAGCTGAAGTTGTGCGCTGAAATTTTTACCACAGATTATATGTTGTTTTTTAATGACTGAAATTTCCGTAGCCCTGTTTTATTATCTGCATTCACTTATTGTAGATAATGACGTTCATAGCAGAGATGCTGTATGTAGTAATTAAGCAGGTCAAAGAGGTGCTTCACCCAAGCTTCACTGGAAGATTTATGAAGCTTTTAAAGCTTCTAATTGTAGGTATTTCAAGTCGGGCGCATTCTGTCAAATACGTATGCTTTAAGCAAGGAGCAGGTAACTTGCGTTGTTGAAAATATCTTAATCTTTTATACAGTTTCTGTTTTGGACCAGCCCAGTGTAAGATGCTACAGTGGCATAGAAGAGTTCTGCCACTTTAGTGATTCTAGGAACCAGTACAAGCAGCCTTAGTTTCTCTCTTATGACAGTTCATCAGATGGTCTTCAAAGAATTCAGTTTGACTTTTGAACTTTGGTTTTGCTGCCCATGATCCTCCCACTCTCTTCCTAATCTGCACTTGATTGTACATCTTTCTTTCACTATACCATAAGGTATTTAGGGCTTGTGGATTTATTTTTTTTTCTTCTCCATATAGTCTGGAATGCAGTTTGGCCCTTTTCTAAGTAATAATGTGTGTTAGAGAACATTGATTCAGGGATTTCACATTTCACTGTATCAGCTCCTGCCTAATGTGTGTGCTTTTTGCCCAAGCTGTAGACTTTTGAGATGTGTTGAGCTGTTGCAGTTGCTGAAGGGTTATGGGGTAATCTGAACCTCTGAAATCTTACTTTAAGTATCTGTGCTTTGTTTCGGTCCCATGGGCCAGTCTTATATGATTAAAAGGAATAGATAGGTGGTTTTTAATGAAGTCTATTGCCCGATAAGCTGGCAGTAATTTATTGCTATATCCAAAACCACAGTAGCACTATTATTTTATCCAGTAACATCTGCTGAAATCAGCAGCTGAATTTAGCAATATGTGAATGGGGCCTAGAGCTGAGTCTGAGGTTTGGTAGTTAAAAAGCAGTGGTTCATGTAGATTCATCTTGTAAATGTTGTTTTGAGTTCTGGGTGTTCGTAAGCTTTATAAAAGCCCAAGGAACTGGTTTGAAAATTAAGAGTTTTTAATTATTAAGAGATTTTGCATTTATATACCTTACCCTTTATCATTACCATTAGCATCCTTTACAGCCTCAGAATAACATAACTGGAAGAGCATAGGACTGTAGTTAACTTAGTTACAGTCTAAACTCAATGTCTCTTTTATCAATAGTCAAACACTGGTGTTTAAAGAAGCCTGAATTCTGGATTTATTTCCTTTGTTAACATAGAGCTTGCTTCTAGCATACTTGCTTTTACTGAGCGTTATTGCGTTCTGCAGTTAGTCCTATCAAATTCAGTGGTGCTTCTTGTAAAACAGGCTATTTGTACAAATCATGCAATGACAGAAATAGCAACACTGAAAACGTCATGTTCATAAGCTGCTGTGAGGCACCATATGACTGCTGGGTGTTGGTTTTTCTCCCTGTTTATCAGATATAGAAGATCTTTGTGAACCTGCAAATGTTTTATCTTCTAATGGTTTAAATGATACCATGATACTCCTTGAACAATTAAAACATGCAGAACACAGAGCAAGACTTGCAGAAGCAGCCTTGGCTAGAGCACAAGATGATCTTCAGAAAATGAAGTAAGTGCTTGAACTGAAGTTTTGGGCTTTTTTTATTTGATGTATTTTAGGCGAGAGGAGATGTTCGTGTTTAAAGACTAAGAAATTCAAACAAGTGATAGAATGTAACTATGGAATAAAACTCAATGACTCTTGTTGGGACTGTAGTTCTAGCTTGTGTCTTGTAGATGATTAGTAACAACTGCATGAAACCTGCACAAATTGAAATAGCAAAGTATATTTAAGAAAGCTAAATAAACATATGGCCCAGAAACATGTATTTTGCTTCAGACCACTCTGGTTTTTAGATGCTTTTCTGTTGGTCCTTTAGGTATGAATGTAAACATTGAGGATGGAGAAGAGAGAGGTCTTGATAAATATGGGACTAAACATTTTCAGAGATGGCTCCAGTGATTGTTAGCAGTAGAATCCAGTTACAGTTTAGAGAAACCCGCAGTGAAATTAATAAACCAACTTAGCTCCTTTTAATTTCAGTCTCAGGTGTGGTTTCTGTTAGTAAGAATATTCAGAGCATCGCAATCAGGAATCAGGACATCTCCATAGCTGTACATGCTACTTCTAAATCTTGAGGTCTTCAAAATGTGGATTGATGATGCTCATGAATAAATGGGAATATAAACTTGTCTTTGGGTCACATAGAGTTGAATCCTGTACAAACATGTCATCTCATGATCATGCTGATTGGTCACTGAAGAACTGAAATTGTATTTAAGAGACTTGGAAAAATAATTCATGTTCTTTTGTGGAAAAGCAGAAAAAAAACTTATTTTGTAGGATATGTTTGGGGATTCATTGTATGTTTTGAGAGTGCATGCTTCATGTTATTAGTAACTAAGTATACCAAAATAAATTCATGTATTCAAATCCAGTCAGCTATGGAAAAAATGGAAAAAAGCTTTGTCTTCGGCTAGGTTTAACTTCTGCAAATCATACTTAATAGCATACAGCAATTCTGATATCTCTGTGTATATTATGCATTAATTCATCATAAACAGTGAGAATGAAAGAACTTTGGAACTGTACTTGGAAAACTTGGGGTTTTTTTCCTGTGTGTTGTCTTGTCTTGTTGCCTTGTTTTTCATTTATAGAAAGGAAAACATTTTCAGGTCATCAGTTGCAATTTCCTTTCAGCTCTTTAAAGTTCAGTCAGGCTTATATACATTTCTTTTTCAGGTTAGTATATCAAATTATCTGCTGTTGTAAAAGAGAGACTTTAACTTTTCTTTAATTCAGGCTCTTCAATTCAGCAGGGATCACTTGGCAGCAAAATTAGCCAAATTTAGATCTGATGAAGCAGCACAGCTTTAAATTACAGATAGATGAACCAGTTGCACTGTAGTAGTACACAGGCTGTAATTCATAGTGATACTGATTCATGCTGGAGGTTACTCTGAGAGAGACTATTTACAGATGTTTCCTTTCAGGTAAACCTTTGTGAAATAAAGATAGCTTAGAAGTTTAAGGTCTTCTACACTCTTCTTACTCTACATCAGTCTAAGGTAACCTGTTTTTCTTTTGGTTTCTGTCATGGAAGTAGATACCAATATTTAGCAGGATGGTTGTCTGTGGAGTAAAAAAATCTAGATGCAGGAGCTTTCTCGTGCTCTACCTACCTACAGAGAATTCTTGGGAGACTAATAACTGTAACTTCTTTCAGTTGCAACATGGCTGCATTATGCATGTCTTGCTCTCTAAGGTGGAAAAAATATTTGTTTTTTTAATGACTTCCTGTTCAGAATCAGTTGTGCAGCTCCCTAGAGGTTGTTGTACTCTGAGCCTGGGAATAAGAGTATGAGAACTCACTAGTTGAGTATGAAATGATTTCTGCAGAAATGTTTTTCCAGGTTTGCTAGGCTGAATATGGACTTGTAGAATTATGAGACTTGAAAGAGGTACAAAGGCAGGTAGCTTGGAGGGCTAGGCCTTGTTTCACCCCACAAATGGTAACAGTTCTATAAATCAGGTCACCTCTAGCATTTGATACAAGATTTAAGAGCATGGCTTGTATATCCTGAATTTTTTTAATCTGTCCCCTACTTAGAGATGATGCTTTTGTTTTTACTTAGGTTTTTGATTAAAAAAGCAGGAGAGCAGCTGAGTCTCTAGTGTTTGTTAGGTACTTGTGTTGCATGCATAGGCTGGAGGAACTACTGGCTGAATCCATTTTAAATAATTTTAAATTGGGTTTATATCTTACAAAATGTTAATTATACTTAATCGTATGTCATTTTTTTAAGTTTGAATTTTTATAATTTTGATATTTTATCTAAAAGTAAGAAAAATGTAAAATGCCATGCTGAAGAACAATATTAAAAATAAGATCCAAACCTTAACTGTATGTCACAGGAATTTTTTGGTATTGACAAACTTTCAATACAAATACCTTTCTCTTCTCCATCCAAACTAGTTAAGTAGAAAAGTATTTGAAATGTTAGGCCTGAAATAGTTGTGGTTTTTTTTCTGTAAGGATGGTACTGGTAATAAGATGTTACGTACAGCTTCTATACATTAAGTTCCTATTTATGGAAGTATGGGCAGTGTTAAAGGTGAGCTTTGGTTGATTTCCAGTGGTCTAGGATTCAAGCTTTGTTGATGTTGAGCTGTAGACCTTGGAGGAGCATTGTCTGGCTAAAGCATGGTTGCTTTTTCGCTTCATTGTGGGTATAGTACAAGCTATTTGCTTGTCAACTATTAATTGTGTTTTCATGATAAAACCCTTGACTTGTGTATCTCATCATCAAAACTGCTTTGAGAAACGAGAATGTGTGAACTAGGAATGCAAGGCTGTGGAGGAGTAAAAATAAGCAGCATGAAATGAAAGTAATAAATTTGAATTTTAAGCTCTGGTTTGTTTCCACCCAAATGCTTCAGTTTTAAAGTACTTCCTTCTACCTTCCGCTAGTCATGCAGTGGTGTATGGTTTGTAGTTCTTGTGCTGTTGGTTGTAATGAGGCTGTATGAGCCTAAAATACATGTTGTGACCACTGTGGTACTAGCCAGCACAAACCAGAGAATTCCTCCCTAAACCCAGAAATGAAGTGCCAATGTTTCACTGCTGATCTTTGCTGGTAGAAGGCAGAGAGGAGCCACTGCAGGAGGGTGATGGAGGGAGCCTGGCGGTGCAGCAGCGTGGCGGAGCCGGCAGAGGGAAGGTTGTGCACGCTGAAAGCTGGTCCCATTGTTGTCAAAGCCCCCGTGCAGTCTGCAGTCCTTATCTGTTCTCAGCCCCTCTCCCTCCTCAACCCTGCCTTCTTTTCACGGTCCCATAAACCTGTCTCAAGGGTGTATTTCAAATTGATTACAGACAATTTGCACAGGATTTTGTGATGAACGCAGATGTCAGGAGCAGCTCGTCATCCAGCGCCATCGCAGACCTTCACGAGGATGAGGATGGTGTTTACTTCAGCTCCTATGGGCATTATGGGATACATGAAGAGATGCTAAAGGTTAGAAAGTCACCTCACCTGCATCTTAGTAGGACTAAAGAGGCGAGATGGAATGAAGTGGGCTGTGTGCCCATAAATATACTGCAGGGCAGCTGCATTTTTAACCCTTTATATCCATGACAGGTTTTTCCTAGGAATTGGCTCGAGACATTCAGTTTTAGTTCCTTTGTATAAATTTTGTTTATGCGAAGCATTGGGAATGTAAAATCATTACTCTACAGATATGCTTGAAGATGTACTACAACATCTGTACCACAACCTTACCTTGCCAAAAGCAGCTTTTTCCTAGTTTCTTAAAAGATAAAGGATAAACTGTGGTACACACAGTGAATATTTTTCTAACAATTTAAATTTGTTAGGCCAAACTATGGCCTCAGATAGTTTCCTTTGCATTTAGTAAACAGAAATTGTTGGTATTTATGCACAGTTCAGTGTATTGATAACATGACATTGGACAGCTGGAAAAACTATATGCTCCTTTTATATGATAATGATGAAAAAATTAATGCTTAAAACTCTTCAAAGGTAAACCTGTTTATTTCCTTTTAACTTCAAAAAAACCCAAGCAACTTAATAATGACAGGTAAATCAAAATCTCCTAATCCTTCCTTTCAGAGAACGTGTCGTAGTTCTGAAAATTATAAACAGTTCTATCATTTTAAGGCAGAATAAATGCAATTCCTGCCTAATGTAGAGAAAGAATATGGAGTTGTGAAGGGACTTTGTCCATACAGGTAGCTCAAAGTTTTCTGCTTTGTGAATCATTTAATGGCCCCAATGTAGAAATACAAATGAATCTGTGTTATGGATAGTATAAGCATGAGGTTAATTGTAAGGTGGGGGGGTGGTTTACGGAAGCACAGAGACGCCTGCAGAAGTAGAAGAATGTTTTCCAAAATGTATAGTCTAGAGAAACTATAAGTCTTGAAGATTAAAAAAAATGCAAGAAGCTAGGTTTTCCAGTTGTATAAAGGTGTCGTTTGAGATGATAGAGGCTATAGGATGAGGAAGCCTTTTTCTTTGCTAATAAAGTTTATAATAATTAGGCATTTCTGCACAAGGAGATTGGTATTTTATTGGTTTCAGAGAATGTTTGTCAGAATACTTTTAAGACTTTCCTAAATATAGGAAAACAGTTGCTTTTTATCATGTGTGCATTGAATTTTTTCCTAAGTGCTAGGCATTCACTTTGATTTTTATTTTTTATGTCTACCTTATATAAATATAGTGACTTGCTACATGGAAATTTTTAAGAAAGGAGCCTTGCTGTCTGAGTTTTAAGTCTGTTTCTGACACTGTTCAGTGAAACCTTTTGTTCTTACACCTGGTAGTGGTAGGATGAAGTTTCAGTTTGGGTTTTTTTGCTGCAGATACTTCAGAGATGGGGGAAGACTCTTGTTACTTGGTACTAATTTCTTGACTATCATCTTAATAAATTTCCTTACCTTTTTATTTAAAAACAAAACAAAAAAAGCATGGCATTGAAAGAGCAAGTGAGGGAATGGAATTAATGAATAGAGAGACCTGAAGTGAATGACCATGGCTTACTCGAGCAGCAGTGCATACAGTAGAGACAGCAGCTAGAATTGTATTGATTAAGTTGGGGCAGTGCTGAGGCAATGGGAGTGGGCAGGATGTAAGGCTGAGAGCTTTCCAGCTGACTGCTTTCTCGATTGATGCTGGAGTCGGATTTTTTTTTTTTTTAAACTTTTTTTGTCATTTCAGCAAATCCCATTATATACCTCAATAGAGGTGAAGTACTAAAAATAGTTGCTCTGAATACGTCATAGTGAACCAGTATGATTTTAAAGGATCGCAATTTCTTTTATTCATGTTAATTATGTATAATTTTAAAGTACAGTTTTCTATAATCATCCCTAAATGCTTGAGTTCTGTGTGTATGTAATACTCCTCCTAAACTTAAAACTGGATTTTAGGATTTTTCAGGCCTGAAAAAAATGTGTCTCCAGAATTATTGTGAACATGTCCTTTGTTCTCAGTCTCTGGTTTTGATCTTGTTTTTCTAAGAAAATAGATTTTGTTCTTTCTCATTAGAGAAAATTTTTTAGTTTCTGTATTTATTTAGTTTCTGTAAAAACTGTTAGCCTTCCATAGTAGAAAAATATTAACTTAAATATAAGCAGTTGGATTTTATACTTTAGTATTATTTATAGATTTGTCTTTCCTAGATAAAAATTGCTTAAAAATTTTCTTTTACTTTGATCCTTGAACTGCAACAGCACTTCCAAAACCTATACTTGGCTGTCAATTTGTGTATCTGGTGATGCATATTAAGAGAATCAATATTTTAGTAGATTACCTTGCTGGTAGATTGAGCTATACTGTTTAACTTTAATATAGTAAGATACTGTAAATGTTTAGTTATATGCTTGAAAATGTTCCAGCTTCTTAGGTCATGTTGTCTTACAGTTATTTGTTTATTCCATTGGACTTTTATAGAATGGGATGTACACCTTAAATTACTAGCTTGTCAGGTTTGCAAATTTGCAACTTGTTCTGAAATAGAAGGTTGATCTGATCTATAATTTTTTTTAAGGAATCTGTACATCACAGGAGTGTCAGAGAATAAAATGATACAAAATATTTTATGAGCTTGTGACTCAAATTTTTGCCATTATATAGGAAGTTGTTATGTAAAGTTGGTGCAGTATTGCCACTCATTACTGCTGTTCCTGGAAAGTGAATAAGAGATAGTAAGAACTTTGAAACATTCAGAGTCAAATGCAGCAGGTCAGAAAACTGTAAGCTAATTTTTTATTTGTCCTCCAGAGGCTCAGCTGACTTAATCTGCAAAGACAATAAATTCTGAAAGGATATCATGTGGGAAGTGTCATGATTCCAAAGCCCTTATAAGTATAGTAGCCACATAACATCTTTAGGCCAAGTTAAAGAGCAAGTTTTTCATCATTTTTGAGCTATTCGATGTACCAAAGTAGAAAAAGTGAATGCTGCTTTATTCTTTGAATCACAGGATAAAGTGCGTACGGAAAGCTATCGTGACTTCATCTATCAAAACCCACATATCTTCAAGGACAAGGTAGGTAAAACAGCTCAAAATACAATAATTTTTGTGCTTTATTTTTTCTCAAGTGGTAGAAATCCTTCAGGTTGACTACTTTGTAGCTTTGGGAATGGAATATTGCACTGACAAGATGTTGATTTAACGTACTTTGGCTTTATTAGGTGGTAGAGTGCTATTCAACTGCTGGAGGGTGCAGAGTGCTGATAACAGAAGTGCTGATAGCTATTGTCACTGTTCTGTGTGCCGTGTCGGGATGTTCATTAATTATGTTGGCGGGGTTAAGTTGAGCCTTTCTTGTCCAGTATATGAAGTGGAATCTGTCTTAGAGGGCCACTTGAAGAGAATTTAAGTGAATTTCAATTTGTGCTTGATAGTAAAAACATCCTAGAAGCACTGTGAAATTAGACCTGGGGAGGAACTCGGGTGCAACTGATTTATTGAATTAGTGTTGTTTAGTCTCTAGACTAGGTTATTAAAGAGTCTGAGAACCAGGAACTAGCATTTCACTTGCAGTGAGGAGAGACTGTGCTGGCATTTTTCTATAATCTTACTGTGGTTATGACCCCTGCACAGTTTACAATCCTCTTCTTGTCTTCTCTCTTTCCCTTGGCCATTTTTGATGAGTTTGTTGTGTTCTGAGTGATGCTGTGCAGCCTCCTGTTCTGGATTATCTTTCCTCTGTTTAGTGCTTACTGTTCTTGAGCTCTGTGTGTGTATATTTCTTAATGTGAAACCAGGATGTCTAGGTTTATGTAGGGCAATCACTGTTGATTTTTATTTTGGCTTTGGTTAAGGCCTTGATAATAAGTGATAATACAAAGCTTCAGAATAGTTGTGGAAGCAAGAAGAGTGCACCAATCTGATTTCTTGGTTGAAAACTGTGCTAGATATGGTATTGTCCTAGGTGTAAAATGTTTCAAGGTAGATGATGCATACTCTTTGTATGTCTCACCTCAGTTTTAGTAACTACAGCAGAAAAAGGAGGAACAAAATTTTCGTCTTTTTTTTTTTCTTCAATCCATACCACAAGCCCTAAACCTTTTTAAGATCTTTAATTATAAGGAGAAAACAAGCAAAAGTGTGGAAACAACATGCTGCCAGCCACTTAAAAGATGCAGGTGACTGCATAGGTGGGCGGCTCATCCAGCAAAGCAGAAAAATCAATTAAGGACAAAAAACTTCCATGGGAGAAATTTAGTTTCGCAGATGGTTCTAACCTTGATAACTGCAGGTTTTCACAGGGTAATACTGACCTTAAATTACGTGGATTGAGTATCCTAGTGGAACAGTACATTTTTCAGAACTGGTTGGGTTTCTCCTGCTGTATGGACATATTGGCAACATTTGAAACAAAATGCAGATGAACTGTTACAGACTGTTTCAGTCCCAGCTGTAGATGCACTTGCTCGGGAAACAGCTAGGAAACATGTGTGCTTACTCTGCATTTATTTCGCGTGAAAGCATTCAACTTCTAAAGAAAAGCTTGTCTACTGTTGCCACATCTACAAACTTGTTTCTGAACTTGCTGTTTTTACAGCATTTTTTTGATCAAGATTATGCCAACTTCTAAGTGTATCCAAACTTGTCATAGCATGTAGCAGTTGAATGGAAAGAAAGATTCTCAATTGCTCAGAGTTCCTGACAGCGTCCTTCCAGGAACCAGTGTCCCACTTAACTTCTGTGTCTGACTAAATGTTGATGTACACTGTTATGGAGAATGTGTGGGATTCTTTTCAGAGGTCTAGCTTTGAGGTAACATCTGGTATAGACTTCTGCTGAAAGAACTGGTCGGATGTTTTCCTTAATTTATGTATCATATGATGCTCTCAGAATCATATTAATGAATGAAACCTCCAGCTTGGGGAAATATGCTATTTTATCTTAAAGTTTAATTATAATTTTTTTTAAAAGTGAGTAGAAGTCTGATACTGTATTTCCTAGAACTCCTGTATGGTATTCCTCCCTAGAAAATACAGTGATGCTTTTTGTTGCTTCCGAAAGGACACCTGTAAGATGGGTTGTGAAAAGCTTGTTCAAGGATCTTAATTGGTTGTGCTAGCTTTTGATCCAAATCTGCAATATCCCAAAGAGGTGTGATTGCGCAGTAACATATGATAACAGAATATCTAGGTTTGTTTATTATGCATACTTTAATCAACATACTTGATTCAGAACGAGTCAATTTATTCTCTCTCAGCTTTTAAAAGATATTATTGATACTTGAAGGGAGTCCTGCTTGCTGCCTTTATTTTCAGCCTGTCAGATGTACTTGAGATGAGAATAGGACCATTTAGATTACCTCACAGGACTAGTTAAGGTGGCCTTACTCAGTAAAAGGAAATGTGATCCATTTTACTGTGAGAGTATTTTTTGGTGGAAAAAAAATTGGTTAGAAAAGCACTACTGCTATGCTTAGTTTTTGTTGTAGAATAGTCTGAGGCAGGCATCAATGCCATATTGAGGGAAAAAATTAGGTTTTAAACATTATTCCTACTGAAAGTTCATTGATGGCATTAACTTATTTGGCCAGATTATCTGACTTCCTGTTTTCCTGAATTGGAAGGTTTTTCTTCCTGTTCCTAAAAGCAGAATATCAGTTTTGATTAGACTACAGAGAAGGATGTGATGCTGCAGTGTATTATGGTATAGTCAGATCGCCAGTCCAGCTGCTCCAGATCTCTGGTGAGAGGCCATATGTGATCACCACAAGAATGCATTAACTGTAGACCCTTGTCCTTAGGCTAACTGGTGATCATTCTGCTTGTCTTTCCATTCCTCAGATGTGTTCCAGCTTGTACATTTTCTCTTGGTGCCTTTTTCTCCCCCCCTGTCCCCTGCCTAAGGCTAGATGAGTTCCATCTGGGTTTTTAAGTGACCAAGGCAGCTGTCCAAAGTGGTGTCTGTTTTGATTTTTTCCCAATTTATGGTGATTTCTCTCTTTCATGCAACTGTACATTAAGATCATTCTTTCACAGAGGTTTATTTTTGGCTCTGACTTCCAGCTTTCATGGCTCAGCAATTTTGTTAACTACCTGGGTTAAGTGTTAGAAAAGGTGATGTTAGGGGGCGTGAGATTTCAGCAGCTGCAAGACCATTGATTTTTACTTTCTATTCTTGTCTCCCTAAGACTTCAGCCTAAGGATTTCTGAGGCCATTACGTACTCATGTAGCTTGTGAGCGAGTTACAGAATTGACATCTATTGGAACGTAGCTACAAAGAGTTGTAAGTGGAACAAGTAACTGTCTTCAACTTCTGTGGCCAGCCTCTACACAAAATGCTGTAAAAAAAATTCATTGTGCCTAATGTATTTTAGTCTGATTACAAATTGTAAGTTGCCCTAAAAAGACAGGTGGCCATCAGTTCTTGAGTCACTGCTTCCCAGTACACCACAGCAGGCGCTCAGTTACACTGTGCTGCTGAGGATAAATGGCTATTTTTATTCATGCCAACTTCAGAATCATTATTTTGTATCCACCATCAGAACATGTAGAACTGTATGCAAGGGAAAGCAAGCAGACCTAATGTACAGAGCATTCAAGTATTTACTTTGAAACTATTTGTCGGGTGAAATTTAAAAGTTATTTTGTGCCAAAGCAAGAATGCTCAATAGTTCATAAGCTAGAAAGTTTGTCAGTAAGGTGCATTATTGCCTTGAAATATTTTCTAAATGGGGTTATAATTCTCAAGTGTGGGATTGACTACTGAGTGATTTGATGCCTTCTCTGGAAAAAGATTTAATGTTGTGAAAGCTGTGAGAATAGCTTTTACAACACTGGATGATATTCTAAGGAGAGACAGTGGAATAAGTTAATTTTCTCTTCTAATAAATTATTTTTATAACTAGTAATTCTAACTCAGTGTTCTTGTTATCTTAGAAGTGTTTAAGTTGTGCTTAATTTCTTGTTTAGGTCTCTTGTATGGGAAAGGTAGTCTCTAGAGTTTCTAATTCTGGTAAGGCTTAAGTGCTATGCATGATACAAATCACTACCTAGTGTAGTGTTTATGAAACTATTTTTGATTTTTCAAATTTCAGAATGTTCTTTAGTGCTTAGAATATTTTAACATAATCAAGCTTTACTAATAGCGTTAAGTAGAAGTCTTAACAGTAAGACCACTGATGCTCTGGGCAATGTAACAGAATGCACCCTTGGCAAATTTGCAGACGATGCAAAACTGGGAGCAGAATTTGATACAGCACATGGTTGTGCTGCTGTTCAGAAGGGCCTGCATAGGCTGGAGAAATGGGCCAGCGACAGTCTTGAGCATAGGACTCGGGGCAGTCAAAGGGCCATGCAGAGTCCTGCAGCCAGGGATGGAGGAATAACCCCAGGCATCAGCAGAGGTGGGGGCTGCTGGCTGGGAAGCAGCTTTGCGGAGAAGAATTTGGTGGGTCCTGGTCAACACCAAGTTGTCCGTGAGCCAGCAACACGCACCCTTGGGGCAAAGGCAGCCAAGCAGCCTCCTGGGCTGCGTTAGGAAGATGACTGTCACCGGCAGGTCAAGAGAAGTGAACTTTCTCTCGTACTCAGCCCAGGGAGACGGCCGTGTCCCACGTCGATGGCTTCTGGAGTGCTGTGCCCAGTCCTGGGTTCCCCAGTGCAGGAGTGAGGTGGATGTCATGGAGTGTGACCAGGGACAGGCCAAAAAGCTGCTGAAGGGACAGGAGCGTCTGTGATGCAGGGAGAGGCTGAAAGAGCTGGGCTTGTGTTATCTGGAGAAGAGAAGGCTCAGAGGAGATTCTTATCAGGGTGTGTAAATGCCTGTTGGTGTTGGGAGTAAAGGAGGTGGGGCCAGACCCTTGTCAGTGGAGCTCAGGGTCAGGATGGGAAGCAACAGGCACAGGTTGAACTGCAGGTAGTTGCCTTTGAAGCCAAGGAAGCACTATTTTCCTGTGAGGGCAATTGCACAGTGTCAGGGGTGGGCTTGGGAGGTTGTGGAGTCTATCCTTGGAGGTATTCAAAGCAGTTTGGACATGGTGCTGAGCAGCCTGCTCTAGCTGACCCTGCTTTGAGCAGAGGGTTGGTCTAAATGATCTCCAGAAGTCTGTTCAAATTTCAACAATTCTGTGTTTCTGTGAAAACATCTCATGTGAAACACAGCTTAAAAACCTACTGTAACACATCCAAGATTAAAAGTGCTAGTTTTTAAGCTGTTGAGAATTTTCCAGCCATTAGAAGAAACACTACTCTGATATTGAGGCCTGAACAAAGTGACTTGGTAAAATCTCTGCTTTATGAAGTTCAACCCTGGTGGCTGCTTAATTCTACTTATTAATGTATTAGATACTGTTTTCTCAAATGCTGCACGTTTTTAAACTTTTCAATATTCCTACAGTAGCTAAGATGTGAGATGTCAAACCCAAATATTTGCATGAGTCTTGTTGCTATGTTCAGTATTTTCAAGTGTAGTGATGTTCATTCTTCTTTCATGAAAACTTAGGCATGCCAGCTTCCTGGATTTTTTTTCTGTCCTATTTAGATTATAAATTGTGATAGAAAATATTTCCAGGTGTTAAAACTGTGCCAGTTACCATTTTGAAATTAGTCATCTTGAGACACAGCTGTTCTGAGGCACTGTGGCCATTTCTACCACAGGATTCCTAAATAAAGTTTCTGAATAGGCTCTTAATGAGAAACTGTACTTAGAATATGTTTTTTCAGTGCCAATGCTGAATTAATTTGTTAATGATTCACTGATTAAAATTGCTCAGAGTATAATTTCCTGTTTCTCCTGTTCATGTAACTATTTAGTTGTTGCCCAAATAATTGCTCTTGATTGTTTCCCATGTGACTGAGTTAACCTGCAGCTGGAACTGGTCTGCTTGATTGTCTATCTGTAGCATGTAGCAGGGTGTGGAGTTGGAATTGCAATTTGACTTGGGTATCTCTGAATGCAGTAGTAAAACTTGATGCTACCATTTGTTCCTTCTGTTAGAATATGTTCTCTCACTGATGAGCTAGAAAGACGTGTGGAAAAATCATAGCAAGGGAAGTAGGCTGTCTATTTTTACCTCCATTTATTCATTTCAGGTGGTTTTGGATGTTGGCTGTGGAACTGGAATACTCTCCATGTTTGCTGCCAAAGCAGGTGCGAAGAAAGTGATTGGAGTTGACCAATCTGAAATTGTCTATCAGGCCATGGACATCATTAGGTAGGAAAAGTTCTAAGGAAAATATGGCAAATATCGTGGTAAAAGGTTACTAAAATGCTGGTACTAGTTAATGATCACCTGTCACTCAGTATGTGTTTTATTGAAGTCCTCCTTTGTCCTAAGAATTAACACAGGTTTGGATGTGCAGTATTCTGGTAGGGGTATTTGAAACAGGGCTGTAGGTTAGGCAGGATGTTTCCCAGACCGTCCGCCTAATGTCAGCACAGGGCTAGTGCTGCCTTGCAGCAGAGGCATTGACTGCTCCCAGTCCATCTGCCATTCCTGAGCTTTAAATGTTGCTACTGATAAAATTGTAAATTTTTAGACAACAAACACAAGAGTTGAGACATGTTCCAAGAGGATGTGAGAAACTTTTCCTGACTGCCCTACTTTGAATTAAAGAAGCAGTTCTGATTTAGATAGACCCAGTAAAAGTTGTTTGAGTGTGTGTGTGTGTATAGTTGTTTCATTTTCTATTTCTATATAGGAATTTTAAATAATGATACAATTTCTAGAATTTAATTTTCTATATTACAGAAAAATAATGATAGAAAGTATTTATAGAAGTATAAAATTAGAACTATAGGAATATAGACATTTTTCTGTGTTGGAAATTAAAAAACTTTTACTCAATTCATCTAAATGTATATATACATTTTAGATTTGTAATTGTGATGTTTTTTAATAAAAGCTTGTCATGCATTAATTTTTACAATTTTATCATGTAAAAAGGAGACGTAATGTGGCTTGCTTTGACAAATAGGTTTTATAATTATATGATATTTTAGTTTTAACTTGTGGAAAACCTTTGTCTAGTAAGATTCCCTGTACATTGGTGTATTTAAGTGACTCTCTGAGAATAGTAAATGTCTACTACTCTGTGTTTTGTTCCTTTAGAAAACCTACTGACCTCTGGTTTTCATGCTAATTGGAAGGTGATTACCACTGCACTGTAATATTTCCTGTAGTTTGGTAGGGGGAAGGCAAATCAACCAAGCAAATGAAAAAACTCAAAGCTAAACCCATTTTGAGAGCATGCACACAGACACATGTACATAGTCTACAAATTTGTCTCCAGGAGAGCTACAAAGATGTTGTGCCATGTAAACGGTCATGGAATAGTACAGGGTGGAAGGGACCCTGGGGCAGTGTGGGGAGTACATCTGGTTCAATCCTCCTCTGTCAGAGCAGACTCACCTCCGACAGGTGGCTCAGGCCTTGGCTAGGCAAGGTCTGAACATACCACTTCTGTCTGAACTTCTCTGGAAAATGTGTCTTGTCTGACTAGCTTTGCTCTTAGTTTTGAAATACCAAAGTGTAACTTCCATTGTTTCAGTTTGTGTCTGTTGCTTGTCATCCAGTCCCTGTGATACAAGAGAAGAGCTTGTCTCTGTCTTATCTTTACCCCTCTGCTAGACAGAGGCAGACATCAGAAACCCATCCCCTAACCATCCCTTCTAAGGCTGAACAAACCCATTTCTGAGCTTCTCCCTGTATGTCATGTGCTCCAGTCCCCCATCATCGTGGTGGCCCCTTCACTGGACTCGCTCTGGCATGTCAGCATCTGTCTTGTACTGGGGAGCCCACAACTGGACACGGTACAGCAGATCAGTTTTGCAAGTGTCATATTGAGGGGAAAGATCACTTTCTTGACCTGCTGGTACCCTCTTTCATCTATGACACAGTAGACAGTCAGCCACTTTTGCTACAAGGGCACACTGCTGGCAGGCTCAGCTAGTTCACCAGGTCCCTGTTGGGGCAGGGTGGGGAACAGCAAGTGGAGGGGATTTCTGACCAGCAGGAACCAATCCTTACTGTTTCATGGCGTTATTCCAGCCAAGGTGCAGGTCTTCCCGTTGCCTTTGCTGGACCTCTGAGGTTCCCATCAGCCCGTATATGCGGTCTGAGGTCCCTAGAAATAGCAGCCCTGCCCGCTAGCATATCGACTGTGTCCCCCTAATTTAGCATTATCCAGACTTGCTGGTGGTGCATTCTGTCCCATTAGGTCACTAATGAAGGTGTTAATTAGTATCAGAACTAGCATTGAACCCTGAAGGACACCTCTGGTACCCAGCTATGAGTTAGACTTTGTATGCCTCTCAGCTCTTGAACCTCATGGTCTAGATATCAGATGGGTGCAAAGCTGGTTCATTTATCCACTGCACATGTCACTAATTTACCTATAGAGGATATTAAGGGAGACTCTTGAGTATATGTAAAAATGTAAAAAATAAAGCAATGGCATCTGAAGACATAAAAAGGATTTCCTAACATGAGGTAGGAGAACGGTAGCTGTAGATGTGTACACTTGATAGCTGAGGTATATAGTTTTTTGATTGGTTTTGTAAGAGCAACTGTGGAAAAAGAAAGTCCAGGTAGATACAGAGGAATTGGGAGTGACAATTTTTATGCAAGCTTAAGTCATACAGAAATAAGGTTGCCTAGACAGAATTTTTAGGTTAGGTAGTGCTTCACACATTGGAGATGCAACATTGTACTCTTGGATGCTGTAAAATTATTCTATTAAATAAATGCCTATTTAAGAAAGTATCAAGCATTAAGTGCAACTTTGACTAAAATGATTTTATGGCACAAGAAATGGTTCTCTAAGAACTTTTCCCAGGAGTCCCTGACATCTTCAGGATGGTTACAAATGTGAAATAGTGTTTTGTTTCTAATGTGTTATTTTCTTATGTACTAGATGACAAACTTAGGATTGTTCATATCTTTCAACAACTGCACAAAAAGCCCTTTATGTGTTATTTATACGTAGAGGAGGATAGAAGTATCAGCCAACACGTATTACCTTTGGTGAGGAGAAGGGCAGCCCTTTAAGAAAAGCAACAAATCAAAACTCTTAAACTCTTAAAGAGTGAAGAATTGCCACTTGAAGTACACAGTGAACCATCAGTAAGGCTACACATTTATAGATACCTTCTGCTATAAAAGGTTCAATTCACATTAAAGTCTTCAGTTCACATCAAAACAATTTATGTTTGTCTGGTTAAACCTACTTTTCCTAAAGGGATAAAACTGACAAACTTGTAATGGGGTAACAAATATTTATTGGAGTACTAAACAATTCTGTGTAGTTTAAAAATGACTACTGCAGTGTGCTTCCACCTGTGATTCAAATACGTGCTCAAGAGCTTTAGTCTCTCCCAGAATTCAGGTTCGTTCCTAGCATGCTAAGTACTAGAAACAGTGCAACCCATGTGTGTAAGTGAACTGGAATAAGTGGCCACAAACTTGAATAAATGGCCTGAGTGGCATGATTCATTCCTAGGGTTACATAGTAATTTTTAAGTAAATGCTTATCTTTTTCTTACTCAAAATAACTGCCCATACAATTTCTAGTGCAGTGAATGACTTGATTTTTGTCACTACTCACTGTTATGCTGGAATAGAAAGTTAAAGTATACTTAGTAAATAGCATCTCAGCCTTTTTGTAGGAACAATGTGTAAACTAAGTTGTTTTGTTTGGGTTTCTATACCTTACAATTGCAAACAAGTATCTAATGATTTAGTCTTTTTCCTCTCTTGTAAATCAAGTCCTTGTATGTGGTCATTTAGGATCCTTAGATCTCTTTTTGTCCTTCTTAACTGTTGTGGTGATAGCTCTTTAGCATTTTCTCACTTTGAACTTCTGCTTTTACTTCTGTTTACAGCATTAAATATGATACTAGTGATGAACTGCTACTCTTCTAACAGAAGACTGTCATGTGTAGAGTATTTAATTGATCTTTGCAACAGCCCACATGCTCAAGTAGCCCTTTGACCCCTTCCTTTCCCTCCCTTCTTTCTGATCATTCTCCCATTGTCTTTTAGATTGAATTTTTAATGTGATTACTGATCTGCACTGAAAGCCACACAGAATGTAAGATATCAGGATAGGGAGGGAAGGTGCAGAGATATGAACTGCAGTGGAGAGATAAATTTCTTTGATGGGAATACTTTTCTCCCCTCTATAAGAACAGCTATTGTAATAGTGGTATGTTCAAGAAAGACTAATATGCTTTGCCAGGAAGAAGAATGCTAAATTTCAAGCACTTAGGTATTTAGCAATTCCACTGTCGTGCAGTTTTTGTTTCAAAAATGGTTCTCATGTCACAGTACCTTCCTCCTCACACAGGATGGTTGTACCCTTACTTGCCTATGAGGTAATACCTGATTACTGCAGTTACTAAACATTGCAGATGGTTTTGGCCAAAATCACAGTGGGAAGGTGCCTTTATTGTGGAATACCTTTAATACTGATCTAGAAATCACAGTGGGGAGGATTCCTTTAGTGTGGAATAACTGTAGTAGTGATCTAGAGGGAATGTTTGTTCTCAGTGACTTTGCAGCTAGTTTTGCTAAATAATAAAAAAACCCCAAACAAGTCATGCAAAACAGCTTTGTAAGGAAGTTAATTTCCATTGCTATCCTGGTGTGATGAGGAGGCTCTAATCACTATAGACTTATGCTACAGGGGTCAGAGAAGGAGAGCAGGGAACAAGCAACTCTGAGTAAAAAGGAGTGCCATTTTAAATTGTCGTCTTCTCTATTTTCCTGATTTCTGAAAGCTTACACATTTGCATGCACAGCACACTGGAAGTATACAGATTTACTGTCTACTATCTTTGCCTGGCACTTCTATCTGCTGCTATTTTTGGTTGCTCAGAAGCTTTCTCTCTGAAAAGTAACCAAGAAGAGGAATATTACATTTTAGTGTTTTCTTGATGAGTTAAACAAAGTTAGTTATTGGGGGGAGGGAGAAATGCAAAATATAAACATCAGAATATCTCTCTTGACAGTGTAAATTGGAAATATGAATTAATTTGTTGTGACTTGCAGATTAAACAAACTTGAAAATACCATTACATTGGTCAAAGGAAGAATTGAAGAAGCTGATCTGCCTTTGGAAAAAGTGGATGTAATTATATCTGAATGGATGGTAAGGTGCATGAGTATTCTTTTAAAGACAGTTATTTTCAGGAGAAAAAAATCTATTGTCTTATTTAATTCAAAAAATTATTTTCTAAGCCATGCTATTTTTTAACAAAGATCTGTCATGCTTGCAACAGTGTATCTGACAGTGTTGGAGAGGGGATGATGGTTGTGTGGTACTCAGATGCAGTTCCTGATCCCCCTTGTTCATGCCCTTTCAAGTCAAGGTTCTCTTAAGTACAGCTGAGCTGGTTTGGGTACAGCAGTAAGTGTCTGTTATGTAGTGAGTATACAAATCTACAGCAGTACTCTACTCCGTAATAGGGTACTTCTTTTTAGGTGAAATTAATGAAGAAATATTGTATTAGTTATTTAGCTAGATGATTCTGATGTAAAATACCTTCAGTTTGTGAAGACCACTAAACACTATCCTGAGTGTGGGAAGGGCGGTGAGGTAGGGAGCATGTGCAGCGGGAGATCTGCAAATACATGTAGAGCTTGAAAACAGCGTTACTGTTCATGGCATTTTTTTATTATGCACTTTTAAAATCACTTATTCTTATATTAAAGATGATGGACAACAGGAGATGCAGTATACAGTGTGTAAAGGAGCCGTTTGCTGCAATCCACTGGATTTCACCCATTTGCCTGTTACCTTTATTCACATGCTGGCTGATGACTTACACAGTTGTGCTTGTTACCTGCCATTGATCCTAATAAAGAAATCTGTGTTACAAAGACCCAGTGCCAGGCTGAACTTCACAGTGACTGAATTAAGTCTGTTCCTTACCAGTGTGGTAGGAATCACCCCCTGTGACTTTTTGTAAACTTCCACTATTCAGTCTCCTCATTTTGCAGACCTTCAGAATGCATTTGAAAGCACAGGTTTTCTTCATGCTAGTTCCCACAGTTTGGGTTAAAGAAAAATTATTTTGCCCTTCAAGCTTAAGATCAATAATGAAAACAGAATATAAGTTACTTGTTTTGGTGTTTTGTTTTTAAACTGTGGCTGTTGTACTGTATGCAAGGGCCTTCAGGAGCGAGGTCACATGTTCAGTATCGATCCATATGTATCTAACTAGTGTCCAGGTAAAGGTGGAAATATATTTTTTTGGTTTACTTTTCTGAAGGTTTTTGTAGTCCATATTTCAGCGAGCAGGAAATCTGCAAAAGTTTTTCTTCCACTACTATAATGAACGTTATTTGAAGCATGAGATTAATTTAGTGTTGAGGTCACTAGTTTCAAGGAAGGTTTAAGCCATTGGCCTAAACTGAGGATTTAAAAATAGTGTGTTATGGTTAGTGATTTCTGACAGTATAGTGACTTCACTAGAAATGTAATTATAGTTCTTTCAGGGAAACTTCTTATCAGTTACCTAATACGTGCACCAAGAATAATGTTCCCAGAATCACATTTCTCATTCTGGAGCCCAAGATTTGGTTTTAAAAGCAACTTGGGCATTTAAGTGCTGAAGTCATGTAAATCAGTGCCTCTAAGATGAAGTAGAGGATTTCAAAAAGCTGCTCTTATAAGAAATGAAATATTGAAAGTTCCATGTTTCACATTTGTGTGCTAATTTACCTTTTAATGTCATAATATATAGTCATGTGCATTTCCCTTAATGGGGTATTCTAAATATTTAGCAATGTTAGCATTTTTATAGGTTGCTGCAATACAGAGATAAAGAGGACAGTGCCCTGAAAATAAGATTGATAGCTGCACAGTGTATGCACTGTCCAGAAAGGAACATTATGTTGCCTAGATGCAAATGAAGATTCCTTTTTGTCTGGCTTTGTGTGAATTTGCTTTTTGTTTTCATTCCTTATATGACACTGACCACTGTGAAATCTTTTGTTAATAAGTAAATGTAGTGCTTGAAAATGTTGGAAATGTGAAGTGTGAGAGCAAAAAAGGAATTCAGCCCTTTAGAGAATCTCTGTGGACTAGCAGGAGAATTCCAATGGGAACAGTGTTTTTTCTTTGTAGCAAAAATATAAAAAGTTGCTGTTCTGTTTAGAAAACAAACTGCTTTTAGACTAGTAAACATCATCCCCTCTTGTGGAGCCACAGCTTTGTTTTGTTTGGTATGGACTGTAAGCTTTTTTAGAACCATCTGTGGAGCATCAGAAAACTAAAAACAAGTGTGAAGCGACAGAATGGAGGCAAAGGAGAAAAAAATACTGCATCCCCCAGGAATAGTTCTAGAACAGGCTTTCTCAAAAAGGAGGCATCCAGAACAGTGTATTGTAAAAGGTGCAATATTGCATTAGGAGCATCTCCAATGCAATGTTTTCTGATGATCGTTGTCTTAATTGTGTAAGTGACCTGTAACTTCCACAGACTGCTTGCTGTTCCTACTTCTCTTTCATTTTTAAATTTGTTGCCTTAAAATATGACAGAATGGGAGAAGCATCTTAAATATTGCACAGTGGGTAAGGATGTGTGTTGTGTATGTTTTTATATATATCTATATCTATCTATATAGATATAGATATATATATCTCCAGATCACATTTCAAATGTGTATTTTACCATCTTTCACAATAATACTTTTCAGATTTAAATTCAACTGGATATGTTTTTGTTATCTAGTTTGAATGATGAGCAACTGTCTTTTCAGTGGCTTTATTTAAGCCTATGAAAGAAATTAGCAGGGATCTTGCTTTTCACATAAAGACTAACTGCTTTGTTTGTGACCTCTGACATATGTGTGTTTGTTAAAATCAGACCATAAGCAGGGCATCTGTGTGATTGTGTTTGACTGCAACCACTACATGTAAAACCATGGAGAGGGGCAGTGGAAGCTGCGATGAGCTGTGAGCTGCTCTGTTGGTGTCCAGAAGGCAGATTGCTGAAGACTGGGGGCCTGTTGAACTGCTGAAGAGCCAGATGAAGCTATCTATTTAGACTTTTTCATGCTGAAATGTTTCATGCATTCCTTTTAGGAAAACATGGCTGAAGTATGCAGCGTAACACAAGGACTTCTTGGGTGCTGTGAACCAGGGGGGCAAGGGAGAGCAGGTGGACTGAGGAATGGTGGGAAAGTACTTAGGAGTTTTATACACTGGAGGCTTGCTCTCGGTCAAGATCACATTTATGTATTCTCCCCAGAGATACTCTATTTTAAGAAACAATTATATTTTACTGTAATTTGAGTAATTTTTCATACAATACATAAGTTTGAAATGAGAGCTCTTAGGCAAAATACTGGAGCTAGTTTTTGGTTAAATTGAATGCTTGGCAGAAAAAGATTTGCTGTCAGCGTCCAGAGGTGGCTGTGTCATTGCACACATGGATTTGGGTGGTGTAATTGTAAACTTCATAGGCTGCTTGCTGAGAGAATGCGAGCAGAAAGAAACAAAATGTACGTAATATTTTTCTGGAATGTTCTTACCCAGCTGCATCTGTGTATAGATGTTTTTCTCTTGGTATGCTTTTACTTTTTCTCTAGCTAAGACTATAAAGCTGGAGGTTGAGAGTTGGATTCATTTGAAAAATGTGTGCAGTTCTTGTTCGTAAGGGGTTTTACAGTGAGAGACAATTGTCTGAGATGGTTGTCTCAAATACGGTGTCAGAGTACAGCACATTCTCATAAATTGCTGGTTTATGCAGTGCTTTATGATACTGAATATGTAATAGAGTTTTACACAAGGTAAAACTGGGAAAGCGATGGACTCTTAAAATAAACCAAGGATGGAGTCCAGAACACTTGTCCCTTAATTGTATCATTGCTTGGGGAGCTAATGTCTTTGGTTTGTTTTTTTTTGTTTTTTTTTTTTTTTGGTGTGTGTGTTAGATAATTTTGAGGTGCTATCAGGTTGAGCTGTGGATGGGAGGTATTCAGCATCTGGGGAAAAGGATTAGGAAGTGAGCATGTCTGAAACACTGGAAACCATCTTTTCTCTCCTTTCTTCTTTCCTGTTTCTATGATGGATATAGAGTGATGACACTTTTTTTTAACAGTTACTAGTTTTTTCTGTAGTCTTAATGTTCTTTATTGTTTCTATTAGTATTTGGAGGTGCATTAGTGTATGTGTTCTATTTCTGTAACAGTAATAATTTATAACTTTATGTAAGAATTGAGCTTTTCTTATGTTTTTAATAATGCTGTGTAAAGTGCATACTAAGTAACTGAATGCTTTAATTTCTTTACTGCAAAATGTTTTTTCTAAAGGAATTTTTTCCTTGCATGAAAAAAATACATATTTTTTTGGATAGCGCCAATAATGACTATCAGTCTTCTGTTCTTCAGATCTTCCCATTTGGTGTTCTCACTCATAGTTGTTTAAGGACACAACAAGGTGTGCACAATTTCAAAGTCAAGATGTGGTTTTGACGTGTGGACTTGCTCTGTCAGTATTGCATTATTTCCTTTTTTAAGGAATGTGAGATATCAGCGTGAAGGCTGACTTAGCATGAGGGACATGGTGCTGCAGCAAGGCATGCAGATGAGTTTACATGTAGCTGCTGCTTCTCATTTAAATGCGCCACAGGTTTTGGGGGGATTTTGTCAAATAAAAAGTAATTTTTCACAAAATTGAGTGGGCCATGTCACTTCTGTCTTCTGTTAATGCAAGATTGCATTTTTTGTTTTAAATCAGAATCCATTGTCCAGTCTGTTTTGCATACCCTGTGTAACTTGTTTTACTCTGTATTCCAGTGGAAACCTTTTAGTTAGAAACTTCAGTTTAAGAAAATATATATATTTTTTTATATATATACTGAGAGAGATTTTAAAGAAGTCCACTCTCTAGACCAGTTACTTGATAGCTGCCTTTCAATTCATTAAATATTCAGTTTTGGTCCTTACTGAATTGGGAGTACAGACCAGGTTAATATATGTTACAGAGAATAATAAAATGGATCTTTGATAGAAGGCAGGGAGAGGAACCCAATGCTTATTCGAGTAGTTAAATATTTCTTCTCAGTTCTATTCTTACATGTTTTTTCTGTGGTACTAAAACTTCTGCTAATTCCTGCTGCTGTAAACTTGCTAATACCACTTCTGGAAATATATATGGCTTTCACCAGTAAGTAGAAAATATTAAATGAAGGAAAACCAAGTTCCACTAAGGTATTTGATAGGAATGGACAAGGGAGACGTACATGAAGAGGCATTTTTAGTCTGAAGTAATTTGTGTTTTAAACAAAACATTTTTCTTTAGTATTCTCCATAGAGGTGTACTTTAGAATTCTGTGTTGTTCTTGTGTCTTGAGGCTTTTAAAGAGCTTTCTCTTTTTCTCCATGAAGAATATTGCAATGAATACAGAAGCACTAATGTTGAAAGAACTTTTTATACTTACAGTTTGATTGATAAAATATTTTTATGCAGCTGTGAATTGAGTGCTATAGTGTATTTGAATAATAGAGGGAAATTAAATAATGCAGGATATTAATCTGTCAAAGTCTTGTGAACCTTTTATAATTCTGTTAACACAAAATACAGATACAAAGGTTATATAAGAAATGTGTATCACATTCCTCTGGATTCAGATTTGTCAGTAGACTCATGCATTTTTGATAGCTGACTTGTTGGATGGATATGGTGTAGGACAGACGTATGCTTGAATGGAGTAACTCCATAGTGCTGTGCATTTCTCTTCCTGTCCAAATCTGTTTATGGGTGGTTTTGTTGTTAGCTGGAGAACCACCATTTCGTTTCAGCTTTGAAAACATGAAAATAACTTCAGTTTGAGAAAGCTTTTTAGTAGAAAACACCTAATATGACAGCATAACATTTAAGATGTGCCATGTGTTGTTTAACAGAGAACATGTCACCTTTTATGTGTCTTAGTTTAGCCACTAGCAAGATTGAGTTATTAATATGCGACTCACAGATTTGTTTCCTGGAGATCTCTTTGCAGTAATTAATTTTGAGGATGCTAATACACTCTTAAGAAAAAACAAACCCCTGAACATTCTTGGGGTGGAAGCAAAAGTGCCCCACAGCATCGTGGGGAAAAACGTCAGGTATAATTCTCTTTCCAGATGGCATCCCTACAGGTGAGGCAGCAGCCTGTGAAATTACATTCTAAATTACACTACAGATGAGCACAGCACACTGAGCAAAACGCTTTGGTAAAAGTAATAAATTACTTGATTCAGTACCATTGACGGTTTATGTAACTTACAGGAATGCTATAATGAATTGGGGGGGAAGGTAGAACTGGGATGGGGGGAGAACCATCAGTGCCAGAGTGGAAAGGTTGGGGAAAGGACGGTGAGAATTTCCTGTGTTTTTCATGAGAAGGTGCGTATTCCAGCTGTATCTTGCGCTTGTTTGGCAGATGTTGTAGGTGATGGGCATTTTAGGCAGGAAGAAGTAAGTGAAGAGATGATCCGTAAAAATATCGCTTTGTAACTCACTGACTCTTGCTGGTAACTAGACTTCAGATATGTCCTTGAGGTCACATTTAACATACTGTGAAAACAACTCATTTTCAGTTAAAAGCATCTGGAAGGAATTTTTATGAAAACATTCTTTTTTTTTAACTGCAAGAATAAGTATAAAAAAGAAAACTGGTTCTACTCTGCTTTTGGTTTGCTGTAGGCATAAAATCATCTCTGCCTGATGCCGTTGGAGCTCCTGGCCTTGTCAATGATTTTGCAAAGCTTATTAAAAATGATATTGCTCACAAAGCAGTAGTCTCATTCTGGGCTTATTAAGGACTTGATAAAAATTAGGCAGTAAACTGGAAGAACAGGCAACATTTGGAAGGAAACTGTGCAGTCGAGCATTGTTACCAGAAGAAACGGGTGTTTCCATTATTTTCAAACTATGTTCTTATTAAATACAAATACATTATGCTTCAAGCTTCTGGTTTTCTAGTTTTGTTCTTTTTTGTGAAGGCTGTAGTGTGGATGGTGATGTTTATAAGCAGTTCTGAACTTGCAGCATTTTTTGTTCTAAGAGCCTTGGGCAAAATAAACATCTCTGATGGCATAAACTTGAAGTACACTTGGTGGCTTTAGCAGTGCAGTTCCCATGCAGTGCTATCGGTCTTCAGTACTGTGGCATGATGACTTCAAAAATAAAAAACTAAAAGAAAAAAAAAAATCCCTATAATTGTACAAATATGGAAGAATAGTAAAGAGGAAGGAAAAAGTCTTAGTTTTGCTTTGTTTGGTTCCTGCTGACTGGGCTTATAGGACTGCAGGTCCAAAGCTGGACTTGTAGTTGTCCTTTTTTTGTTCTTTCCTACTGGCAAGCACTGTATAAATCAAGCCATGTAGCTAAGCTGTGTTTTTAAGCAAAACAAGAATTAGGATGCTAAGTGAAAATCCAGAATGTATGGCAGTATGATTTATCTTAACTGATTTGATGTTGTAAGAATGCATATGTGGATTAAATGTGTTACAGTATTCAGTAAGAACAGGGATTGTATTCAAACTTGGAAGATAGGAGGGGTGTGAAATCAGTAAATCAAGGGGAAACAAAGGGCTATATATCTCTTAAATCTGCAGTTTACTTAAAAGTAGTTGAGAAATCGGATGTTTTAGCTAAAATGCTGATTTTATGTGATCTATATTGCTTTTTATATCGCAAATGTTTAAGGAAATTTTTTTCTGTTTCAGAAAACAGCTGATTTGCTTAAGTTATTCTAAACATCTATAGTAGTATGATTAACCTGCTATAAAATTAACCTCAACACAAAAAACCCCTATGCAAATCTAGTTCTAACCTTCTTTTATCCCGAGAATTTTTTAAGTTCAAGTCCTGCTAAATGATGTAGAACATCCAGAGAACCCATGCCTCTGGTATATGATTTATTTCCAGCTGTCATAGTGAGCATTGCCCAAGATGGTACAAGGCACCATGAGGTTGCAGATGCGAAGTAGCAAAGATGCATTCCATTTGGTGTTTCTCTGACAATTATTTTAAAGTTATTTGCAGTTATAAGTGGGAAGGGATTTTCCTGGTTGTCTTTTGTTGGGTTTTTTTGTATGTTGCCTCAGAGTTATTTTCAATATATACAACTTATCACTTGGTTTAAGTTGAATTTGATTTCTTTTGATGTAGGACTCTACAAGGTAATTATTGTTGTGGATTAGATATTTATTGCATACAGTTTATTAATTTAGTAGGTGCTAAATAGTTGCCATTTGGGAAATTAAAGATGATAGTTCATGGAACTAAAGTTTTGAACTGACAATGCTGCTGTTGACCAATTCACTGCATGCTTGATTTTGCTGAGGTGTATGGGCACATAAAGTTCTTAAACTGTGTTGATAAAGCCTATCTGTAGATTGATTAAATATGCTACCTAAGAAACATAATGATTTCTAAGTTCTTCCCATTTCTATCAACAGGGTTATTTCCTTCTTTTTGAGTCAATGCTGGATTCTGTCATCTATGCAAAGGACAAGTACCTGGCAGAGGGAGGCTCAGGTTGGTGCGCATAATTCTTTTAATAAATTTAGCTCTGGGGGGAAACTAAATTAACTCAGAGACTTAGAATAAGCTATGCATGAATGAGAAAGTTGCCAGTCTAAATGAAAAATGTTTCCATTAGTGTGAGCTTCAAGGCATTAATTTACTGTATGGGTAATAGAAGAACATTAGGTGGAGTATCAAGGTCTCAAATTAATGGTGTTTTTTAAGAATAGAGGGGTTATTTATTCTTAAGTACAGTCTAAATTTTTCCTCCCTACTTCTTCCCACCCGTGTGGATGTTTGTTTTCCCCTTTGAAAATCCCGGTTTCTGCATGACTGCTAACAGAGACTAGTAATTTGTATTCTGTAAGATGTGATACTGTTTGAGTAAGCTAGTATGAATTAAAAATGCATATGATGTTTTGCTGGAGGAGGAAAGCTGTGTGGGGAGGACATGGTTTCAAACACAAGAAGCAGCATGAAATAACTAATGGAATGATATTGTTTCAGTTCAGCAGATTTATCCTGTCCTGGTGGGAATATGCCCATTTTCTTCATGGTTTGAGGGTAGGGAAGTGACAGAACAAAAAAGTTTTATTTTGAAATAGAGTTCTTGTATCCTTTTAAGTAGCTTAGATGGTGTCATCTTAAGCAGTGTTTAAATGCCTGTAAATATTTATTCTTCATGTAATGCAGCTTTCTGCATGAGTTATGCATGTGGTTTATTCCTTGTGCTTAATTCCTTTGTCAGTGTTGTATTTCATATTGACCTTTTCAATCGTAGTCATCAGTCTGGGTTTTTTTTTTTCCCCTTTTGTGCTAACCATGCACATAGTTAGTTTCACTACACTGACTTAATGATTGGATTAATGACTGTGTAACAGTACTCGCTGCAGTGCTTGCCTCTGATTGCAGGGAGCTTTTGTATGCTACAGAGTGCAGCAGGAAAAAGGGGTTTTGTGCAATTGTTCAACATTTAGTCACAAAGCAGAAGATACAAGTAAGAGATTACTGTTCGCATGTTTTAAAATACTTAGAAGCCACTTGACCAATGTAACAGAATAAGAGCTGTTTTGTTTTCAGTAATGAATAGTCCAGCCAGACCCAGAACATGGTTGTGGTGTGCTCTGTATCAATATATGCTGACAGATTTACACTGCAATATAATTAAATCTAGGGACATCCCTTAAAACTATAAGAAATTGTTTTGTTTGCCTACTACTTCCAAAGCCTTCTGAAAAGGGCCAGAAATTTTTGACCTCTATGGAAATTGCCATATTATCTTGTTCTTTAGCTGTATTGTTGGTAATTTGCTATGGCTTTTGCCTCCCAAAGTTTCCTTTGAGAGATAGGGGGTGCAGGTTCTGCAGTACACAACCTTTGTGTTCCGAGAATGGTCTTGGGCCCATATTTGACTCTTCACAAAGCGTACAGGATTGTACAGTCACCAGTTGGTATGGCCAGATTTTAAATGGAATGCTGTTTCTTTAGGATGCTTACAATTACTGCTCTTCTGCCAGCTTGTATAGCAGGTAAATGCCTGTGCCTGAGATGTGTGAGAAGTTGCTCAGCGAACAGCTTAGCAAGACAGACGCTTCTGCAGTGTTAGATGAATAGCAGCAGAACTGTGGGCACATCCAAATTCAGATGAGCCAAAACTGAGAGCGTGTTCTGAGGTGAAGTCTTACCACAGAAACTCCTGAATCTGCCATAAAGCTTAATTTTGTCTCAAGCCACTTTGCGCTATTGAGCCCAAGACCGTTATTACAGGGACTGTTTGAAAGCTGAAAAAAGCAATGGAAGCAGCTGCAATTTGGCCAGACCTTTTGGTGATTGAGCTGGGAATAGAATCCAAATTTCTAGATTTGTGTTCAGTCAGTCATATCGTCGTTACTTCAATTTAGCCTACTGGCATGCTGAAGTGGGTTATGCCAAACTGTCTAGGGTGATGTGTACAGTATATAATAGCTTTATTTGGGAACATAAAATTCTTGCTGCACAGGACCCATCTGTTTGTTCTTTAAAGCTGTTACTTGCTGGAGTATAGGTTTTTGCACACCCTTATGTGTGCAAAACTTGGTGGGGGTGACACAGAGAAGGACAGCATCATTCAAAACGTAATACGGTTTGCTTGTTCACATCAAAGTGATGATGGTGTTCACTTGGAATTATTTCCGTATATCTGGAGGATTGCTGCCTTACCCTTCAGTGTCCTGAAGTTTGTGAGGCATTGCTAAGGGATAAAGGATTTCCCATCGTATTCTGTTCACCACGTGAGCTGTTACTACTGACAGATGACTTCTGGGCACTGAGTCGAGAAGGACACAGATGGTCAAAACGATGAATCTGAGAGAGCACTGAGGATTATGTGCTTTTGTCCAATCAGAATTTTGTTCAGTTCACCTGTGAGAAGGAATAATTATTAAATTATGGGCTTAATCAGAAAAAAATTACAAGTCTGTCAGGATTGCACAGGAAAGTGTTACAGGATTGCAGAAAGAACAGAGGCTTTCCAGGGAGATCCAGGATAATGCCTGAAATGACAAATGCAATAATCAGCAGATGCTTTTAAACATTTATAGAAGTCTACAGCATTTAAATGAGTTAAGCTGATATTTAGATAACGTGCTTATATTTCCAGTCAAACTTCAGTGTAGTATATGCTTCTGGACATGGGTGGGTTTGTAAATTTGGAACTTGATGTTTGCCTGTGCCCTGTTACGGGAACACAGATTTAATTTTGTGAAGGTCTGAAGAGGCATTCTTTTTTTGTTGTTGCTTTTGTCAAGCTAAACTAAAAATGCTGATTAGATTAGAGCATTAGCTTTTACATTTTTACTTTTTCTTAAGCACTTTGTATAATCGATCATGAGTTCCACTGCTGATTTAAGGATTTGCTGTGTGGTCAAAGATTTAATAAAAACTGATTATGGTCCCACTCAGATACCTCACACTTGATAGACGTGGTAAACTTTTTGCTGTTAACAGAATGTTCCAGAAATGTGGGCTAGTCTGAGGAAGGAAGGTTATAAAGTAGTTGATCACTTCTTGCTGTGGCTTTCATTTTTGTTTGCGGTGTCTCTAGCATGCTCCTATAAGTGTATTCTGTAACTAGGGATTATAGTCTCTTTTCTTCCTTGTTTTCACCATACCCCTTATGTCCTATGAAGAGCATTCTCCCAAAAAATACTCCCTCAAAGGCGGTAGTCGTGTCGTCTGTTTCATACTGTCTTAATTTTTGGACCATCAGTGGTAGCTCTAGAAGGTTTGAAATGCTGGGAGGTAAAGCTGGATATAATGCAGTTGTCACACTAGTAAACAGCAACATGAAAGCTTGGAGAAATGGACATCCATGGCTCCAGAAACTCATTGCAAGTATTCTTACCACCAGATGTTGATTTGATTTTTTTTTTTTTAAGTTTTTTTTATTTGTGCATGTGTGACAGTGGTCAGTTGTGCTTGGAACCAAATGATTTGTTGCAGACAAGACAGCTTGAATGCCTTCCTGTTTTGATTTTCATCAACCTGCCTTGTTACTGCTGTGTTAATTGTAGGCTGTTCCTGGAGAAACCTGCTTTGAGTTCCTCATCTGCAAAGCAGGAATGATGGTAGCTTACCAATGGGATTCTAATTCAGGCTTACTGGTATTTATTATGATGTTTTAAATAAAAAGTGAGAAATGTGACACTGTGTTCATATTTTGTATAAACTAGTCATTCCAGTTGTAGAGGTGGTTGCTTAATGTCTTCATATGGAAAAAGAAAAAGCTTCTTTAGAGAAGGTTCTTCTTTATCATTAATATGTATAAGCTTATTTCCTTTAGGCTAAATCTACTATTGCTATATAGAAGGTCCAATTTCAATTTGCTGTTTCTATCTTCAGTATTTTACAAGGCAAAAAAATACTGCTTTTCTGACTTACTGTGCTATACCAATGATTTCTCCATACTCATTTTGATAAGCTAACAATTTCAAGCAGAGCTGAAGACAAAATTAATTTTACAGTTCACTAGATTTTGGGGAAGAAAAGAGAAACTTAGCTTCAGTTTTATTAACACTGCCACATTCATGTGTCATTAAAAAATGAAATAAAATTAGGTGTTTATTAGTAGGCATCTTACACTGAAGCCAGGTCAAGTATTCAATGCACGTGGCTTTAAAAGCTTTAAAAATCCTGAAAACAAAACATGGGAACTTCTTTGTGAAAAGAAACCTAGCTAAATAAATATAAATTGAGCTTCTCTTTGATAGTCAGCCAGGTTCAATAGCAGCTGTTCTCTGTGCTAAAATCAGTAGTGGATAGAGATTTCCAAGAGATTGACTGGCTTTGCTGTAGGCAGCTGTTAAAAAGGCAAATGTCAGTCTTCCACTACTGTTTGGAAATGCTGTAAATAGGTACTCCTGAAGATATTCCTGGGAGAAGGGAAAGCATGAATGGGAGGATAGTGTAAGCATGATAGCTGTCATCCTAAAACCTGGGGGGAATCAATGAAGTTCTCTTCTGTTGGGTCATTTCCATACTCTTCAGGTGCAGATAGAAGAGTGGTTATTCTCTTTCAGTAACCAGAAATATTTATTTAGGTTGTAAGGCGAGTATCAGCCAGACGTGATAAGAAACAGGAATAAAACTCCAGAGTTAAGAATATTTGCTCTTTTCTGGAAATCCGGTCATTTCACAGGGGCTTCTTGTTATTGCAAAGCCCTCACTTGAATCTTCCTTGGGGTGTCTTGTCTGCAGTTATTAAATACATTTTAGGTCAGTCTCTGCATAGAAGCCAAACTAGGATCTTCCAAATTATTTTCCTCAGCAAGTTTCCAGTCATTTTGTGGCAGCGGGCTTCAACTACAAAGATATTTTATCACAAACAGGTAATACTGTTACCAGAGTAGTGTGGGAAAATTAAGTTCTAATGTCTCGTTTTTTCAAATGGGACTTCAGAAAATAAAGTAGCAGAAAAAGTGTCTTGTTCAAGAGCTGAAAGAAGTTCTCTTTGTTCTTTTAAGACATTAATCACAGAGAAAGTAAAACAAAAAAGGTCCTCTTTATGCATGTCAACAATAAAATCTTTCTGTTGTTACAGTTTATCCTGACATTTGCACCATTAGTCTAGTAGCTGTTGGGGATATGAATAAACATGTGGACAAGCTGCTTTTCTGGGAAGATGTATATGGCTTTGACATGTCTTGCATGAAGAAGGCTGTAATTCCAGAAGCTGTTGTGGAGGTGCTGGATCCAAACACGCTGATATCTACAGCCGCTGTCATTAAGGTACCCTACTTATTAAATTTTTAGTTGTTAGATTAGAAGTTTTCTTTTTTTTATGAAGGAGGGGGGAAAAATACACATACACAAACTTGGGTATCTTCAGAATGATACAAATACAGTAAGGCTCTTGGTGTTAAGACTGAGACTTGTATTAATTGCTTTACCAAGTTTAAGCTCCTAATAAAGTAATCTTCCTATATTTAGGTTGTTCTTTTCTACATTTTCATCTGTCCAAGCCCAAATTTACTTGCGTTTTAGTAAGTTACAAGTTGCATAACTGAAATTTTAAACTATACCAAAGAAACCCTACAATATAGAATTATCTTCTACTTTGCTTTCCTCTTCACCTCAGTCAGTGTATGGAGTTGTAGGGGAGCTTCATACCTATTTCTGGCTTTAAAGATCTTTCATTGGAGGATCACTGACTGTCACCTTCGTCTAACAGGATGGCCATGTCTGAAAAAGTAATGGTAGTTTCTGCAGTATTTGTGGAATTAATTTTATGCTTGGTTTTCTGTGTTGTCTTTTTTTATGGCAGCTTTGTGATGGGGAATATTGGCAATTCCTTGCAGCTACACCATAGGTAGTGATTCCTGTGAGAGAACACCTATGTGATGAGATGTAATTCCAGAACACTGACTAGATTGAAATTCTCATGAACTTTGTGATTCGTAATAATTTGAACAGTTCAAGTTGAGAAGACTATTATAAACCAAGATTTTTGGCTACAATGGTATTCTAATTATTGTTCATATAGTTACTTTTCTATTGTAAAACACTTAAGGCAGTAATATTACTGCTCTTCAGTGGGAATTGCCTGTTAAATAGAGGTAATTTCTATTTAAATGCGTTCCTATCCTATTTTTATGTAGAAGAAAATGGGTTTACATAATTCATCGCTGAACTTGACACCCTTACTGAGGGTAGTTCCAGTCTTCCAGCGTAGTTGCTTGTTCATACTTGTTGTATTCAGTTGTCATTCTGCCTACAAAATCAGTAACAGGTGAAGTACAGTTTTGTTGTAAGTATGTCCTGATGCAAATTATTGTTTAAGATTTTCTTGCCTATGATTTTATTACAGAGAACATTTTAAAGTATTAAGTTTTTTAAATTGGGTATTCAAATGTAAGAAGTGCTGGGACTGATATTTCTTTAACTTAACTAAATTGGATGACTGGTGCATCTCTGCTTTCTTTATTTGTAGGTGTTGAAGTAATTACAGATGTCTTGCATTTTATTCTGAGCTTATTGACTAGACTCCCTCTAGAGTGAGTGAAATAACATTCCTAAGGACACCTACAATAAGTTGTGTGACTTGAGGCTTACAAATTTCTGTTTTCCTTGAGTGTAAGGAGAGGGTAGAGTCATCAAAGCAGTTGTTGAAATATACTCTGTAGACTGTCATCATGGGGAAGATAAATTCAACCGTTAGTGAATGAATGCACACAAAACAGAGTTACTGAGATCAAGTATCTGAGTCAATAATTGTTAGCTCTGACAGGTTTGATTGTACAATGAGTGAGGCATAGGCACTTTTCCTGCCTGCCACTTTTCTCTAACATTTTGCATGCTCTGATTCAAGTGAAAGTGTAGTTCAGTACTTCTTACTAATAGGTCAAGCTTCATATACAGAAAATAACATATAACATGCTCTAAATTAACAGTTGTGTTGCTAAGTTGAACTTTGTCGGTTTGTTAGGCAAACAAATAAATTAAAACACTTCTTAACCTGGAAAGTGTTGAAAATAACTATAGTTAAATGTGTCCAATGCAGCCTATAAGCTGCTGTCATTTTAGAAGCAAGATGCTTTCCTGATAACAGTACCCGTCCCTTTCTAGTAAGTACTGCCATGAGCAGTCACTGTCCAGCACCAGTGTATGTGCTTAGCCCATTATGTTACTGTGCAGCATTTTGCATAATTGTTATACTTAATGGGTTTATATGCATTTGTTATCAGTAGCAATTGTCATTTTAAAAAATAACCTAAAGTCAATGCATGAGCTCGTTTGGAGTTACAGTACAAAATAGTAAAATTAATGAGTTGAGCAACAGTGGCATTATAGGTAAATTGTTTTAATCGATAGGCATTCCACAGAACAAATGGAATATATTTCTGAGGGAAAGTTTAAAAACGTTCCAATTTATCATATGGTTATTACAGAAGCTATTTTAGTGTGTTTGCCCAGATTATCTGCTGCTTCTTTTGTATAGTTTATAATGTAACTTTTCAGGAGGCAAAAAAGTCCCTGAAGAAAGATAAGGCAGCAGCAAGAAATACTGATTAATAATGTGTATGACTTTTAACTTCAGCAGTATATGATGTTCTTGGATAAAGCATTTTAACTAGTTTGTAAACTGAAGAACTGAATACAGTGAAAAAAAATGTGGTGGAATTTTTGTGAAAAACTAAAATCTGAATATTTCTCTTTAGAAACTCGTTTTTTTTTTAAAAAAAAATATATATATATATAAAAAAATATAAAAATATATCTTTAAAATAATATTGAAATGCAGGTTGCAGTTTGATTTGACACTGTTACTGTGGTTGTCCTGGATGCTGTTGTTTTCTGTTACTTTTAAAATAGCAAAGCAGTTCTTTGCCTTGTGTGCTGCTTTTTTTTTTTCCTTCTGTTGTGTTACTGATATTTCACTGTTACATCACTGCACATGGTTGTGCTGCTGTTCAGAAGGGCCTGCATAGGCTGGAGAAATGGGCCAGCGACAGTCTTGAGCATAGGACTCGGGGCAGTCAAAGGGCCATGCAGAGTCCTGCAGCCAGGGATGGAGGAATAACCCCAGGCATCAGCAGAGGTGGGGGCTGCTGGCTGGGAAGCAGCTTTGCGGAGAAGAATTTGGGGGTCCTGGTCAACACCAAGTTGTCCGTGAGCCAGCAACACGCACCCTTGGGGCAAAGGCAGCCAAGCAGCCTCCTGGGCTGCGTTAGGAAGATGACTGTCACCGGCAGGTCAAGAGAAGTGAACTTTCTCTCGTACTCAGCCCAGGGAGACGGCCGTGTCCCACGTCGATGGCTTCTGGAGTGCTGTGCCCAGTCCTGGGTTCCCCAGTGCAGGAGTGAGGTGGATGTCATGGAGTGTGACCAGGGACAGGCCAAAAAGCTGCTGAAGGGACAGGAGCATCTGTGGTGCAGGGAGAGGCTGAAAGAGCTGGGCTTGTGTTATCTGGAGAAGAGAAGGCTCAGAGGAGATTCTTATCAGGGTGTGTAAATGCCTGTTGGTGGTGGGAGTAAAGGAGGTGGGGCCAGACCCTTGTCAGTGGAGCTCAGGGTCAGGATGGGAAGCAACAGGCACAGGTTGAACCCCATGTAGTTGCCTTTGAAGCCAAGGAAGCACTATTTTCCTGTGAGGGCAATTGCACAGTGGCAGGGGTGGGCTTGGGAGGTTGTGGAGTCTATCCTTGGAGGTATTCAAAGCAGTTTGGACATGGTGCTGAGCAGCCTGCTCTAGCTGACCCTGCTTTGAGCAGGGGGTTGGTCTAAGTGATTTCTAGAGGTCCATTTCAATTGTTCCATGATCAATACAAAACTAATCTGGCAAATCAAAAAAGCCCAATTTTAACCCATACTGGTTTCCTACTGTAGTTTACTGTGTGACTTCATGAACAAGGAGTAAGTTGAAGGTGCCTGTGAAAGCTGCTTAATTTCAGCAATGGGCAGCGCTCATAGAGTAACTTGTGAGCTACTATATTTACTTCTGTACTGCTGCTAGTCAGAGTATCTATTTTGGCATTTGGGGAAGAGGGGTTTTAGGTGTTCTGTCAGTGTAGGTCTCTTCCTATTTTTGAAGTGCTGAATTAGTATTGCCCTAGAAAACTTGTCTATGGGAGCAACTGAACAACCTTCATCCAAAGGAAGATCTTAAATTAAATTCAGTACTGTTACTGACAGATTCGTATTATTCCTTTCGACAGCGTATTGACTGTAATACTGCATCCACTCCAGACTTAGAATTCTCTTCAGATTTCACCCTGACCATTACAATGAGCACAAAGTGTACGGTAAGACAATTTTAGTTTCTTCATATATGGTCTGTATTGCATTGGTCTAATAGATAGTGCATTAATTAAGGTTCATTTATCATTTGTCCTTGCCTTCAAACACTCATTTCTGTAGTACCGAGATGTCGAACAAGCCCGTTTTGTAAAGAGATAGATGTAAAACTCCAGTAATTGCATTACAGTATAATACAGGTAGATGAGGAAAGGGCAGATAAGGAGACAGCACTGGGGTTCTGTTTTGTTCTCTAGTCTGTTTTCTGAAATAATAGTTTACTGTTCAGACATGCTGTTACCACTGTGCTCAAGAATGATGCAGTCACTAGTCTCAGAAGAGCTCTTCTGAGCTTTTTAATAAAAAGAGTGAAAAACAAAATAGATACAGGAAAGGTAGACTATAGCTCATGTAATAAACATAGCAGCTCATATGGCAAACAGTTTCTCAAACAGGGAAGTTCATGAACTTTAAGTCTGAAGACTGAGAGGGGAACAAATACAGCATTAGAATCTCAATCTGTTAGCCAGGGTTCTTACTGCATCTTTATCTATCGTACTCAAGTTAGTACTCTTACTTTATATTAGTATGATGTATTCAAAAGACCACTAATTCTAGAAAGGCTGTGGAGTTGAACTGGAGGAGTGTGCCAACTACAGCAAACCCAAGCTTATGCATCTTTGACTGGGGCATTAAGTCGAGTAAAGAATCTCCAGCAAATCTTGTAAGTCTGATCTCACTCAGCTGAGTAGTATTTGTCTATTAAACACTAGTTAAGATGAAAAGAAAGAAAAGAAAAAATAAGTTTCAGTCTGAGCTTTAGAATCAAATGAAGACTCAGTACTAGGGCATCTTTCAAACACTTCTTTGACATTGTGCCTGCATTGTTCAGTATGAATCTACATAAATACACATTCATTTTGCAGCTTTTTTCTTGGTCATTCAGTATCTGGTAGTTAGGAGAAAACAGAGAAACACAGATTTTTGGATTAATGAAAAAAGACCCCTATTTATTTCCGCGAAGGGCCCATACAATTTATGTTGTGTGTTTTGTATTCCATTTTTGAAGTGTAAGTCAAGATAAATAAATATTTTTATTTAACATACTTCATGTAAGGGTGTGAGTGACCTCAAAACATTTTATGAATGTGTTTAAAGCTAAAACAGATTAGGTATTCCAACATGAATATTCATAAGTGTTTAGACTGATACCTATGTGAGGATACCTTTACCTAGTTAGGATGCACAGCTTGCTTTGTTGGGATAGGGAAGAAAATAATTACATAGAAGGATTTTTGTAGTGTTATTGTTAGGCAGGGCAGTTAGGATAAAGATGAGGTACAGATGAGAAAGTCTGGTGGTGGCTTAGATTGAAGTAATGCATTGAGTTATTAAATAATAAATTATAAGCAAAGGCAGGATGACCTAATTTTTACAGATTTTATGATTGCAGTAACATGCTTTTACATTCGACATCAATTATAAATTCTTTCTAACAATTTATTGAAATGTCCTAATCAGATTTGACAGAAGTTTGTATTAGGTTCTGAGATCTGTTGTAAAAACGAAATAGTATATTGTGATACTTCTGCTGGGAGTTTGATACTTAGCTTTAAGTCACGGCACATCACAACATCAAGTCCAAAGGGGTCATTGGTAGTTAATTTTTAATATATTGTGATAGGTTTGTTACAACTGGTTTATTTGGCTTTCGTGTGTGTATATGAAGAGGAGAAACAGACTTTTAGTATGGATACAAATAATATGTTGCTGTATAATATAGGCACTTGAGCTGATATCCAAGTCTTGGATACCTATGTCAAGCAATATAATACCTGGTTTAGGATGGGTCTGCGTCTTAGTTCATGCTGCTGCATCTGCTGCCACTTCTGCTGTGTAACAGGATGCGTAAGAGTTCGTTGGTGTTATAAAGTGAAGTTTTCCTGTGTATATAATTTAAAGCATTGTTGTTAGTGTGATTTAGTAGCTGTGTACAAACACTTCATAAGTATTTTGAATTATCACCAAATTAAGTAAAGACATGATAACCTCTTGTTTTTCATGAAATGGAGATCTATATCTTTTTATTGTGCATTTACAAAAAAAATCTCCTGTTTTTAATTGTCATAGGATCATAGAATAATTCTAGTTGCCTCAGGGCAGGGTCAGCTTTGATTTCAGACCAAGCTCCAGTGCAGCCCTGGGTTAATTTCGTTATGTGGCCACTTTTTGAATTAACTGATTAGTTAATAACTAATTAGTTGATGTTTGGGCAGAGTAAAATAACTTACTTTGTAAACATCATTTTCCTTAGCACTAGACCTTTACAAAAACTTGATTTCTGTTCTATGATTCTGTGGTATCATTGACTTATAAATCAAGATGTACATCTGCATTTTATGACTTGCAGGGAGAAGGGGAGGGAAGTGGGGGAGGAGCAGCGTTTCTGAAATTTTGCAGTGAATGCAGGTTCTAAAAAATGATCAGAACTCTGTAAAGTATTTTGCACTTCATCATTTAGGTTTATTGACACTTTGAGTGAAATTTCCACTCTTTCTATGATGGATTGTGGAATTTTAGTTGGGGGTTGACAGTTCATCCATCATATCAGGCTGCCTAACCTTGCAGTAAATGAACAATAAAAGTCCATTATTTATATTGAGAATTTTTGAGGAGATGCTTCAAGATTGCGATTTGTCCTCTGAAAATAACGTTTGATGTTTTTCTTGTTTGAATCCATGTTTTGTTGTTCTACTGGCTTTTCATTTTTTTGCACAAAATAATGCTTATATGTCACAGAATTCTAGCTTTTTGTACTTGTCTGTTCTGACTTTTGCATTTTAAAAATACGAACATTTTAAAATATTTTTTCTTTATTTAAAAAAAAAATCAAAAAATTAAACAATTTGGAAATCCATCCTTATATGCTTGTGTATATATATCACTTTTTTTAGCTTACAACCTAAAATTCATTTCAAAGCAGCTCTCTCCCAGCTCCTTCTGTGCCATAAAAGTGTGAAGATAGATTTGGTTGTCTTATTCCTAGTGTTGCCATCAACAGCCAAGTGAACTTCAGACCAGTGTTACCGTCAGAACTAGAATTCCCTCTGTTTAATGGTCTGTCTTCATAAACCAAACAAGTGGAAAGCTTGGGTGCATGGTGCTACGTTAGTGATTTTGTGGATCCTGTTGCAGGTGGGCTACTAGTTTGCACTGTGTCATCATGTTGTGGGGCACGGGTTTCCATGCTGTTTGTTTCCAAGGCACGGTGTGGGTGTGGAGAAGTGTACATACGGGAGACATTCTTACATGGAAATGGGTCAGCAGCATGGAATGTGTGGTTGCTGTTGCTGAACTTGTTTTTGCAGATGTTAGCACTCACAGGAGGTAACTTAGCAAGTGCACAGTTGTGACCACCTCTGCTTGGAGTACCCAACATCATATTCAGTGTTGAAGAGCTAAGCTTTCAGCTGACAACTCTGGAGGCATTAGTCATGTTGGGGTCTGCCGCTTCCTCCCATCAACCTGTTTACCTGCCTGTGGTAACAGGACAGAAAGTTGTAAAAGCTGACAGGAGTCACAGCCATAATGCAGTCTGTTTACCAACTCATTGCACCATTTGTTTTGATTGGACTTGGAACATCCCCAGGACCCCTCAGGCAGGAGAGGCTGTACTTCTCATTTCTGTGGCAAGATGTCAAATACCTCTAAAATCTGACTTTAGTTTTTTTTCCTCAGTCCGTTTGCCCCTCTGCCCCCCTCCCTTAATAGATAGTGTTTGAAATCCTGTGTTTATTTTCAGTCTCAAGAGAGAAGCTGACCTCTTCTTATTTCCCCATTCTTTATTCTTCTTAATTGTTCTGTTAAACGCTTTTGGGAGGATTTCGTAAAGGCTGTGGGGAAGCTTCACCTAGTAGAGAGCTAGGAACAGAGCTTCCTTTCTGTTTTTGACTGGAGGGAGCACAGGAAGATTAGCCTCTCAAGCTTAATGCTAACCTTTGGGATTTGTCATCTACCTCTTTCTCATCCTTTGATTTTTTTTTTTTTATTTTTTTTTTTTCCCTGCCCTCCAATTTGCTTGGTCACTTTTTAGTACAAACCTTTTAATTACTGAAAACGCAAGTGCTGAAATAGATATTTCTCTTCTTTCTAGGTATTATTGCTGGTTTTGCTCTTGGAGGGTCTTCCTGCTGACCTCTTGGCTAATTATCTGATTGTATGATACTGCCACTTTAATTGTACTAGAGGTTGTTTGAAAACCATGCAATTCAGTATGCAAATAAGCGAACTGTTTTCTGTGTTTAGCTAAATGGACTAAGGACAAAATGCCCAGGCTTAGTGATGAGCTTCTATGAAATAGAAAAACTGTGTAGCTCCTAAAACCTAAGAGTATAGTATTAGTTGCCACATATCTGATTTGTCTGTCCTTCCACCTGTAAATTATTTTAAATCGCTCTCGTAATTTTGTAGGGGGAAAAAAACCAAACCAAACCAAATGCTAGCGGGGTATTAAGTCATATTCTTAACAGGTCAGCCTGATGTCTATCTGTAGGTGCGTTCTAAGTGTATTGTGGAGGCTCATGCAATGCATTTGAGTCATATCTTTAAAAAAAATGCTTAATGCTCTAAATAGGTTTTTCTTCCCAATGTTCAAGCAATTAGTCTTGAAGAAAAAAAAATCTTAATAAACCTGCAAAATATGGAAATATTGAGCAAAAATAAAGATTTTTAACTGATCTTGTATGTGATGCTTAATCTTTCAGAAGCTGGGGGTGAATTCAGGGCTTTTTTTTAGAGCACGTATTCTTTCTGTTGATTTTACTTTCATTTGTTCTCTGGTTTACCACAAAGTAGTATCTTTTAGCATTAAATTTATTTATCATTACTTTAGTTTTCAAAGAGTGAAGATTTTTCTAAGCATGAAACAGTTGCATGGAATCATTATATAAAATTGTTCCAAAGCACTTTTAGTGCAAGTTGACTTGATTTCAGTCTTACAAAGATAATG